TCATTTTTTCCTAACCTCTTTCGTCATTTATCCCCCTGCTTTTGTCCCCATGATTCGTCATTTTTCGCTCTTCAGTCAATAGCAACATAGAAAAATTTTATTACTCTTTATTTGCGTAATATCACGAACACTGATCCACCTTCGTTTCATACGGATTTACAGTTAGAGTGCCTTTCGGTCAGATCGAACAGCCTCAATAAGGCACAAACAAATTTGTTTGTGAGCCCTGGACACAAAATCCTCATTAACTAATCTTTTCATTTTTTACGGCTATCATAACGGCTCAAGAATATGCACTCAGCTGTGCTTCGTCATTTCGTGTGATCCCCCTACTTTGAAAATCCAGAAGCAGTTCATACACATTTGAGGAAGAGGAGGAATGAGCACTAGAAGTTTGCTTTCGCTGTGATTGTTCGACGGTCGACGCCAGTGGCTGCTTTCCAAAATGCTGGCATTATCATTAGATGGCAGGGAACTTGAGTCAAAACTGTTCTTCTAAATGTTTCATCGGCTTTTCACCTTGTGTTCTGAAGCATCCTTAGCTTGCTTGCACGATGCAGACTTCCGTTCCTGTCTACTATGATTAGCAGGCTAATTTTCTAACCGACCTCCGTTTTTTATCCACCAATCTGTGGAATATCCCGTACCTTATTCAACGTTATTTCTTCAATCGTGTCTATTCTACTTTCCAATCGTTGTTCCGCGACCATAGAACAGTATACCATATAAATTGCGTCAATTATACCAATGACATGATGGTCATCTGAACTGTTCAGAGGGACGTGCCCGTATTATTTAAAGGCATACTGTACAATGCTTCGCAATGCTTGATCAACAGTGATCTGAAAATCAATCGAGATGGATCTGCCGTGAAAGTATTAACTAGGGATGACATCACCTCCGGTCTTGGACAATTATGGGTAACCTGGCGTACTTCTGAGAACGAAAAAATGCTGATACCGATTTGGAGGCATAAATGAGTACCAGGTCCTGAAATATCGTTCATGAATGGCAGAAGTGGCTGTCGTAGACAGAATGATGGGAGATCCGCCGTGAAACCATAAAACCCCCATTTGTTTAATGGCTCACCTTAACTAGGAGCAACGAACAACTTGACTATGCAATACCTCATAAAGTCCAGCATTGGAAGAATTCTATGTTAAATAACATCAACATGGGAATAAGGCCTGTCATGAATGATAAGAAGCCGGTCTTAGAGGTTTACTTAGCCAGATACACGTAAACAACTGTGTGGATAGTAACGTATACGCAAATGTTCGTACGTATTCATGCAACATGAACATTATTTATGTATTTACCCAATTATTACTTTGGTTTTCTACTAACTTACCTACTCATCCACTTACCAAATTAATCATTTATTTATCTATTTCCTTTTTAGTGTTGTTGCTTTCCTTCTTCGTTAACCATACATATTTACGAACTTTCTTGATGACTTATCTCTTCACTTGCTTACTTTCTTTCTTTCTTACCACTAATTCATATTGATGCAGTGCTAGTATTTGAAGTAACATGCCAAAACAGAAAGTCTTCTGTTACAGTGATTTAGGGCAAAAAGATAAGGCGAACATATTTTCAGCCAATTTCAAGACCACGCTATTGTGTCCGACATCAGTCACAGTAAACCGTAACAAATATCAGTCTAAAATCAATTTATTTGCATATTCATTGTGCTTTTAAACATTGCATCAAAGATCGTTTCTGAAGATCTGTTGCTTGCTTATTCACTTGTTCATTTGATCATCTACATGCTTATCTGACTCGCTTATTACTTGCTTAGTCACTCAGTTATTTACTGACTTGCTCATTTGAATACTCATTTACTTACTCATTTTCTCACCTAGTTACTTACTTATTTACGTGCTCACCTGCCCTGCCTATTTACTGGCTTATTCACTCACTTCATTGCTTTTTTCCTTTAAGCCTTACACGTACAGATTCTATGATAATTTTGCAGGTGCATCTCACTGTGTTCTTTGACTGAGGCAATTTCTCTTCGGCACTGATCATGTTCAAGTAGAAGCGATGCCGTTTCTACGGGTAACAGACCATCAAAGTCCTGCAGAAAGCTATGTTCTGACATGCATCGATGGATCGATCATTGACAGAGTACACAGCTGCAGTTTGTGGCCCCGGTTAATGGATGGCGTTGCTCCCCTGCAAGTAAAACAGGGCGGGAGATGCAGGAGACCAGAAACAGCATGAAATGGTCATTTTGGTGTCTCCGATTTTTAGACACATGGAGATCAACGCTATGCAAGCGACACACAGCCCTCGTGTTGTGTGCTGTGTAGATTGTGGCCGAGGTGTTGTTCCGATGCAGTGGCGCGTCTTCATCACCATGCGAGAGCCAATGTCCCAACAAAAAAGGATCGAACCATCACCCCAGCGGGGACACTCAGAGTCCAATCATAAACGGCTAACCATGCTGCCTTGGGCTCTTTGGCTCAACCACTGAATCTACACTCTTTATTTGTTATATTGATAAATATTTGCTTCGACAGACGTCCGCTGGCCAAGTTTCTTTCCCAAATCCGCACAGCTTTGTACTGGTGCACCTGCTTATTACTTTGCGTGTTTCCGGTTTCTATGCTTGCCTTCGATCACACATCATAAACCTCGGTAACTCTGTCGTTTAAGTTTCATTAGTCTCACACGACGATGACGAAATTACAGTAACAATAACAGCATCTTACCTACGTGTCGGGCATCATCGCTTTGACTGAAATGCATTTGTAAGTGACCTTGAGTAAACAACAGTCCTTTGGTGTGCCCCTCCCCAATGTCATCGTCAGTACAGAAGGTTTCGTCATTTCTTTACATCAGATCGTTCGGATCTGAGGAAGGGGCACATGTTGTGCATTCGTTGGCAAAACGCCAAAAGTGGCAAAAAATTGACCTCTGACTAGTAACCTCGAGAGATTCTAGCAAGCGTTTACAAACGACATAAACGAAACGACGACTAAATCAGACTTTCTACTAAATCGGCACAAATTTCTTCCCCTTGCCTTTCCTCGATATGCTTTTCATTTCGTTCTCTACGGGTTTCCGCTCGGCAGATGAGCTCAAACCGAGTCCGCCGCAGCTGATGCTGACAGTTGCTAAACAAACAGTGTGTGGAAAAGAGCGATGTCTGCCGCTTAGCTACTGGCTGTCAGCTCCCCCTCGAACGTACGCCTGCCAGCCGCACGTCCACTGTACAGTTGTCAGTGATTATAGAGGAAAATTTCCGTTCTCTCGAAGAATCGAAACGCTATCACCCTCTGGTCGATTCTTTCGCTTTAGCGGTCGATATCGCATGGAAAAGGACAGTTTCTGAACGAGGTTTTTCCTCTATGTGGCGATGAACAGCTATTACGGTAGTGCGCTGGTAAACCCATCAGTTAACGTCGATGAAGTAAAGAAGAATCGCTCCGGTATCGCTTCCTGCTACTGCCCACGCCGTTACTACTTAGCCGTTTGCGCCTTTATCGGTTTCTGCCTAATGTACACCATGCGAGTGAACTTGAGCATCGCCGTACTGTATATGAAAAAAAGCCGAATGACGCGAGTGGGAAACGAGACGGTAGACGACAAGTGATGATCGTAGTTTTTGCAAAGAATAGTTTTATTTGTTACAGATAAATTCCGAATTCAAAGACTGGAACTCAGTCACTATCGGCGTCGTAATGAGTGCCTTCTTTTACGGCTACATTATCAGTCAATTGCCAGGAGGTAATTCTGCACTCATTGTGTAATCAATAGAGCCCGGTAACGCTCAACTGCTCGAAGACCAGATTTCACGGTGTCGCGCA